CTATGGCTGGATGCCTGCAGGACTTCCCCAAACATGCTCCATATATTCTAAGGCCTGGGCCAGGGTCACTTAATCCACAAGGGCCCCTGATGTGATCTGCTAGTTAGGATTATAATTGTTCAAAAAAGACAAAGATCCCTACCCTCATAAAGCATCTGTTTAGCACAGAGGAAAACATAAATCAGCAATAGACTAATAGAATAGTAAATATAAGAATTATATAACATGGCTGACACTGATAAATGGCATGGAAAAGCTGGCTAGTAAGGGTGAGGTAGGAAGAAGGCTGAGGAGTAAAGGTTGCAGCATTACAAGTAGACTTCCATGGAGGGAATAGAATAAAACAGTGAATAGAAAAAACAGTGCCAGGTGCCTGTGGCTCATGCCTGTAATCCTACCTACTCAGAAGGCTGAGATCTGAGGATCATGGTTTGAAGGTAGCCTGGGCAGAAAATTCTGTGAGACTCTTACTTCCAATTAACCACAGAATGCTGTAAGTGGCGTTGTGGCCCAAGTGGCAGAATGCTACCTTGAGCACAAAAGCTCAAGGATAGTGCCCAGGCCCAGAGTTCAAGCCCCATGAGCGGCCAAAAAAAAAAAAAAAAAAAAGAATGCCACAAAACCTGAGATTCAAATTCTTCTATGTTTGGTAACAATTTTAAGACTTAAAAAAAAAAAAAAAAAAAGGAAGGAAAGGAGGAAGGAAGGAAGGAAGGGCAGAGCTAGCAATATGAATTCTGAGAAAAGTGTACTTTGCAGATGCCACAGCTAGTGCAAAGGCTCTAAGGTACAACATATCTGGAGTTTGAGGAACAGTGTGAAGGACAGATGTAAGAGAGAAGAGAGGTCAGAGTTCATGGGCCAGGCTGTCCAGAGAGAGTGCCTTTGGAATCCTCTGTCTGCCTTGGAATTATAACTGAATAAGGTAGACAACTTGTGGAAAATTCTTGGTAGAGGAGTAACTTGATTTAAAGGATCACTAATGCAGGGTGTTGAAAACAGTCTACAGGGCAAATGTAGAGACAAAGAGGCCACTGCACAATCACCCAGCAAGGGAGAACAGTGGCCAAGGCCAAGAGGTTTGGAAGTGATAAGAACTGGACAGATGCCCCATGCTCTTGGAATCTGCTGATAGAGTGGATATGGATCAAAAGAAAGCAGGATCAAGAATGGCTTCAAGGCTTTGGGGATGAGTGGAATTGGTGTTTCCAGCAATGAGAAAGGGCAAGAGTAGAGAATGTTATAGAGGGAAATCAAGGCTGGAGATGTATCTGTGAGCTGGACATGCCCAGGGGGAGGTGGTGGGGAGATAGCTGGAAGCAGAGACAGGGCCTGCATGTAACTGAGACTTAGGCATTCCCTAAGCAAAGTTATGTTTTATTGGCAGTATGGCAGGTAAGGAGGCCCCAGGGATGAGTCTCATATCTGAGAGGGGGTGGCTAACTGTCTTCAAGAGAGCTGGAGAATCAAAGAACAAGAGAAGAGATGGCACTGCCATCCTATTGGGTGTTCTGAGCCCCAGCTGACCTAGAGTATATTAACAAAGTCTTTCACAGGGCATTTCCTCTGCCAAATGAAGGAAGTGCTATCTGGAATGTGGCAAAGCATTCTGTGCTCCAGCATGCTATAGTGCCACCTTTACAAAACCATACACCAGAGTCTTTGCTAGCTCCAATGTATAGAAAGGAATTGTGTTTGTGCCACTCAGAAGTGGCATGAAGTGCTGGAGGTCAAAGCCAAGAGTCAAAGTCCAGGGTCCTCACTACACAGCAAAATCCCCCATAGAGCAGGTACCTGGCTCTGGTCCTGAGCCCATGGGTGCCTCTGGCCCCTTCACAGTTGATGTTGCTGTGGACTTGCATGCCTGGTATTAGTGAGCTCTGATAGACTTTTCCTTAAAACCTTTTTCTGATCTCAAGGGTGTTGAAAGGAGGTGAGCTAATGAGGAACTACAAGTTAAGAGCTTGGCTTAGTGCCTAGCACACAGAAAACACTGTACATGTAGCAGCAGGCCCCAGGACAGTGAAGGAAGCAGAAACTGTTTTAATTTATTGAAGGAATTTTCAGTTAAAGTTGTAAAAAGAAATGGAGAAGAGCCTACCCAATCTGGATGACCTACTTACTCTACTTGATATGCAAGTGCACAAAAATTTATTTCTTCTACTAGATTATTTGCTTAGGATAAATTCCCTAGGGTAGGATTACTGAGCCAACAGGTCAGAGCCCTTTTCTGGATCTTAGTAGTTGTTGCCATTATGTTTTCCAGAAAAAGGTTTCTTTGGTGGACATTGTACTCAATACTAAACTCATATATTTTAACTTTTAATTTTGAATTTGTGTGTGTGTGTGTGTGTGTGTGTGTGTGTGTGTTGGTATTGGGGCTTGAACTCAGCGCCTCATGCTCTTGCTTGACTTTTCTGCTCAAGGCTAGTGCTCTACCACTTGAGCCATACTCTACTTATAGCTTTTTGTTGGCTAATTGGAAATAAGTCTCATGGACTTTTCTGCCCAGGCTGGCTTTGATCCTCAGCCTCTGAGTATGTGGATTATAGGTGTGAACTACCAGCACCTAGATGATTTTTTTTCTTACAATTGATTTCATGAGTTTCTTCTTGCAGTTCAAGGTCCTGTATAATTAATTTGCATTCTTTTGAAAGCTAAGGAAGAATGTACGTGCGTGCGTGCGTGCGTGTGTGTGTGTGTGTGTGTGTGTGTGTGTGTGTGTGTGCTGGTCCTGGGGCTTGAACACAGGACCTGGGCACTGTCCCTGAGCTTTTGTGCTCAAGGCTAGCACTCTACCACTTGAACCATAGTTCCACTTCTGGCTTTTTGTGGTTAAATGGAAATGTCTCTTGGATTGTCTGGGTTGGCTAGGATTGCAGATTACAGATGTGAGCCACTGGTGCCTGGAAGGAAGAACATTTTTGTAAATTCTTCCTTTTTAGTGTTTACTTTTTAAATTAGCCTAAGTGGGAATTACTTGTTCATTATCTTTGACCATTTATCAGTGGGTCATTGCTCAATAAATATTAACTGGTCACTTATGCTGTAGGAGGGACCTAGGAACACCTGCTTTAAATGTACTTTTAAAATACCACAGCAATAAACTTCCTTATTGTTATATTTAATGAAGATTTTCCCTATCTATTTAATACTTTATTTTTAAAATGTGTATAATCAGATTTGCCTCCTGTTTTACCTATATACCCACACATACACATTTCAGAGGTTATAAAGCTTAGAGAATTATCACCTCATGATTTTATCAATATTGAATTAGAGTTTATATATATGTATATATATATATATATATATATATACTTATGTTTGTGGTGTTGAGAACTTCTATTTAATTCTATTATTTTACGTTTAAAATGTGAAGTCTTTAATTCAGGGTTTCTGGATTAAATATTGTACCCGACACTATTTATGTATAATGTAATAGCTAAACCAAAGCAAACTGAACCATCACCACCACCACAAACAAAACAAAACACACACAAAACTTGTAAGCAGATATGGGAGTGCTTACTTGAACAGTTAATGAAACTCCTACTTCTGAAGACTAAGAGATTCCCTAGAGATAGAATAATGAATCCTGTGAGTCTCCAAGGTTTTGGAGGACTGCTGGAAAGATTGGTCTAAAACATTTATCAAACTTTATAACTCTGGACTCCTTTATTCATGAAGCACCTCTTGGAGTGCCAAACTTTGGAAGTTATTGTTTTAACTCAATTTAAAGCAAAGCTTAAAAATCTGACCATAAATTCATTCTCTGTGGCATTTCCAGCATGTTGTAGATGTGTAGTAAATACAAACTGAATGAACAAATGAGTATGAGAACAGATCGACAGGTAAGACAATCAGATCTCGTCCAGCAATACTATGATATATACTCTCTAAAAATACATTCAGGTAGAGTATCTTTGTATGGTTCCCTTCTAGATCCCCAGGACCCAGAATAATGTTTAGAATAAGTCTTGTTGACAAGAAAAACAAAGGAATGAGTCTCTTGTCCATCCCACCACATTTCTTCCTAATATCTTTCCTGAATGGAAGGGGAAAGAGTATCAGGGGCCCTTGATCATAACCTAAGGTAGTTCTGAAAGCAGATCCAAGCACTAACTTTGAGCTAGAGACCAGGGCTCCAGGATTATCTCTTTGGAGGTACCAGGCCCTCATACAATTCATAGGTGGCACCATAAATTCAGTTACATTAGGCCTGGCAAGAGTAGGCCTCCTTCCTTGGGGATGCTGTTTCAGCACTGTCCACACTAGCTGAGCAAGACTTTAAGTCCATCCAAATTGCACAGAGTCTGCCATGGATGCTGCACTCAGTGGCCTCACAAGCAGAACTTCATAGTACAAGGTGCTAAATGACCTGAGCCTTTATGAGCAGAGAATGCCTCTTAGGATGGCAAATAGTTCTCATCAGATGAGCACACTTGCTGTGTTCATTGTCATTTTGAGATTGACATTAGTACTTCCTCCTTACCTTTCACCCAGCTGGACCAATATAAACTACAAGAGCCAACTTTGCTTAGTAGAAGCCTAAATGATGTAAGGTTCATGGCAAAACAGTTTTTATAAGGTCATCACTTGGAAGTGTGAGGAAAATGGGTGCAGAGAGCTGTCAACACAGCCTGTTTCTAAGAGTTAAGGAAGGCTATTCACCTACTCTGTCCAGAATCTAGAATAGTAAAGTACCACAAGTTTTCAAGAAAGAGCCCCAACAGCCTGGACCCAGAGTATTGGTGACATTTTCCAAATATTACCCCTGGGTAATATTTCAGAATGCCCCAGCACAGCCCCAGCGAGTCCCGTGTTACCACAAGTGCAAGTCCCGCCAGCAGTTTAGGGAAGATGGGCTCCCTAAACCAATCCCTGTGTTTAAAGTTTTAGAAGCACCCATGGCAAAGAAGAGAAGAAACAATGAGCTTTATAAAGAACCATATTTATTTTCATTTACAGCATCAAATACCATAAATAAAGCTAAACATTGTTTGTGGTGTGCAAAATACAAGGTTCCATGTGGTACTGTAAATGGTTACCATAGGTCACAGACATGCCTTGTGATGAGAATGGGGAGGCTAGCTAGAGATAGGCTGAGAGAGAGGAGGGCTCTCTTGGTTGACATTGTAGAAAGGGAGGGAAATTCTGCAAGAGAAGATAAGAGCAAGAACTTTGTACTGGCCAGGCTCTGCACCAATGCAGCGAGGGGATACAGCATGCAGGGCTGGGCAAAGGCTGATAGGTCAGGGTGGCTCTGGCCACATGCAAAACAAATATCAACCACAGTCAAGAGTGTGAGGCCAGGCCTATGTTGGCTCTGCTCTACTGGGCGTGTGGCTTCTCTGTACCAACACTTTGATTGCTCTGCTGCTCCAGGTAAACAAGTCAGCAGGAATATGTACTCTAGGCCGAGCCATGGGAGTTAAGAGACTGGTCTCTCCAGGCCTGAGTCTGACTTAAGTCATTTCTCGATGTCATCCCTCTCCTGAGACTATGCATGATTGCTCTGATTGATGTTATTGAACTTTAGGAGTCCAGGAGGATAAGAAGTACACTGCAGATCATTTGGATCACTGATGCAGGTTTGAAGAGAATGTTTGCTAGAATCATTGTGATTATTTGTATACAATACAGAACATGAGTCAAACTTGTAATGAGGCCTGGAAGAAATTTTTTAAATCATTTTAAAATGAATCATCTATGGGTTTGATAAATGGTAATCTTCATATTAGAATCAATTTTAGAAGATATTATTAGATAAGACCTTCTTCAGAGGTCACTAGAAAAATATCTTCTTGCCAAAGGTGACAAAGCCTTCCTTGTATGGTACTATCTCACAATCAAGTTAAACCTTCTCAAGAAGGTAAGTGGCTTCCCAGGTGCAACTGAAAAGCATAGACACAGGCCAGCCCAGAGGACAGAGGGGAGGCGGGGCATGCACTTGGGGTGGATCAGGCTGCATGCTCTGGGGCAAGTAGAATAGGACTTTGCTTTTGAGCTGAACCCTTCCCTCCCTCATGCTGTTAACCCTCCCTTCCCCATGCCACCAAATGAGTCTGTTAGACGCAAGCCACAGCACAATCATATTACCGGCGGGGAGGCAGGGTGTGGAAGCAGGTTAGGGATTAGTACCACTCTCTGAAAATAGCCCAGAAAAATCAGTCACCTCAGAGCAGAAATGTGTCAGCCAAGAAGTGGGTGTAGCACTGGAAGGCTGAAATGAACTGACGGCCACAAGGTGAGGTTGGAAAGAGAGAGAGAGACAGAGAAGAGAACTTAGCATGGAGAAAAAAGGGAAGAAAGAACTGGAGTTGAATAAGCAACCGTTAGAAAAGGGAAACATTCTCCCCCAACAAGTCACTCACTGTTTGGTTAGGAGAGATGAACCTTTCTGGTGGTGGTCAGCTACTTATTTACATGAGCAGACATTGTCAACATTCCTCTGAAGTCCTTTCAGAGCTACAAATGCCCTTAGGACCTTCTCTCCCTTCTCTTTTCTCTGCCCCAATTTAACTCTGGAATCTCACATTCATTCTTGAATATGTGATAGAAGTTTTGAGGAGTTGCTCCCCAGGACTCGCCCATGTGTTGGCACTGCCCACCAGGAAGGTTCAAGGTCTCCCAATATACAAACATATGACTTATGACAGACACACCCAGTCTACTAGAATAATTCAAACCAGTCTTGTTATGGCCAGAGTGACATTCTTAGAGAGATTCTACTCTGGCTTCAGGGAACTTTCTGCAAAACATCTCAGCCTACCCTGAGCTGGCGGTAATCACAATGAGGTGGCACTAACATCCTGACCTCAAGAATTCACTTTGCATAATCAAACATGTGGAACATTAAAAATCCCAGCACAAAATGAGGAAAATGTAATGTGAGTCATCAGACTAAGAACAGTTCAAAAAAGACAGAGGTGCCAGCAGTTCCAGAAGACTTGACCGGGACCATGACCATGACCTGTGTTTCCCAACAACTCCAGGGACGTGTCTGGAGAAGCAACACCCACCCCTTCTTTCCACCCTACAGAAAATTTGTCATCTCAAAGCTTTCAGAGCTCTGGCTCTGAATCCACACCAGACTCCCTCTTTCCTAGCAAATAATTTCTAGTGCTAACAGCCAACCTCACAGAGCTCTCTTGGTCCCAACAATTTTGAATATGCTGAGCACCACAGAAGGCATTTATCGGCCTTTCATTGCTCAGTTGAGCCTGTGCAAGCAGAGTGAGGTGGGGACAGCTGAGGGTTCTTCCTGACCCCCAGAAAAAGGGGGCTGATGTTCTTTTTTTTGCCCCTGGTTGGGCCTGTTTTCTTGGACTCAGGACCTTGAGTTTGCTAGGCTAGCACTCTACCAATTTGATCCACTCTTCCAACTTGGGCTTATTTCCTGGAAGCAGTCAATAAACAGCTTCCACTCCCAGCCTTCCCTCAGTCAAGACACAGCAAAGCTGCTTAAGGTCAGGCATTCTCTTTTGCTTGGATAGTGAGAAAATGGTTTCTGTTTTGACACATATCTAAGGCAGCAGCCAGAGCATGACAGGCAAGGTCATGCTTCCCAGGAGCTGGTAAACTTCCTCTGGTTCAAGGGACACCAGACGAGAGGCAGTTGTTTTTCCCTTTACTCAGCCTGACCACTATGCACCTGAGTGGCCTTGGTTCAGCTTATAGCCTGGTCTAGGGACCTGATAGAGTCCTTGAGGACTAAAATGCCACCAGCTGAAATAGTTTGTCCTCAGCGTAGAATTAGCCTGGAAGAGCTTTCAGGGTCAAGTGCCAACAGGCTGTCACCTTACTGCCGTTAGTGGGAAGGAAAATAGATGGTTGGGAAGTCTGTAACAATCTGGTTGGAACCCTGTGAGTCTGTGTCATCTGATTGTGATTGGATAAGGGAAAAAGCCTATAAGCTACTATTTTACTTCAAAACAAAGGAGCAAAGCAGTCTTCCCCCCTCTACGAAGAGAGGAGTCAACACATTTCCGTGCATTTTTGTAGAGTTGATTCTATTTTGTTCCTCTGTTCTTCTAAACATTATGCTTTCAAATTCCTCCCCAAATTGCCTACTGTTGACAGGTGACATCAGGTTGCATAAATTGCAAGGCACTGGTCAAGCGATGGCACATTCACTTATGTATATGCAAATTCCCAGGTCAAGTAGTGATTTGTGCAAGTAGTGATTCTTACAGTTCACTGCCATATTGAAGAGTGATTGATGAACTTCAAATGTTCAGAAATGACACTCATAGAAAAAAAATTGCTCGTGGCTTATTGAAAGATAAACATTGAAATGTAAACCCAGAAATATGGCTCGCTTTGGTATAAAAAATAATGTACAAAGGTATAAAAAAAGTCCTTCATGTCATCTCTAGCCCTAGCACCTGGACTGGATGTTCCCCTTGTCAAGGCCAGGTGGAGGTGGCTGATATGAAACTCTTTGGCTTGTAGCTAATTGTTATAGACACTAGACTTGGCCAGAGCCTTCGCAAACAACAAACAATGGCCATCTACACTCCAGAAATGTTAAGGCACTTTGGGGCAGCCAGACACCTCACTGGCGCTTGGTGGGAATGCACCTGAGTACCCAGCTGCGAATGCTTTCAAGAGACTCCTCAGACTCCCTGTACATAGTTGCTAGGACCTCAGAGAAGGCCCAGAGAAGTGGCAGCCCGAGGCTTATGAGCTCATACATATAGCAGTAGTTGTAAGCATTGTCCCTGACATGCAGCCCGATGGCTTGCAGCAGTCCCCGTATCCAGTTAAGCAGGTTCTGGGGAATGGCCAGCAGGCCCCGGGGAAGGTCGAGCAGGGCCCTTGGCAGCCTGAGAGGCCAGCTCAGTGCCTTCCTAAAGAAGGAGGTGGAGATACCTGGGGGGCTGCCTTCTGGTGTGCTGATGGCGGCCACTGCACAAGAACTTTCGGTGGGAGTATCTCGTCGAGGGGCTTCCTGCTCCTGCCATGGCCCCTCCTCCTGAGAAAGAGACCAAAGTGAAGGCATTTAGTCCATGAGTCTCATGGAGCAGTCTTCCAACAGAGCAGACTGAGAGAACCAATAAAAATCTAACCTGGAAGGCCCCAAGTTATACAATTAGCCCCTAAATAATCTCAGCACTCTTACTCATGGTGCCAAATAAGAGAACAACTTTTTTGGGGGACAAACTGATTATCCAATTCACGAACTCTCAAAATGGACAAGCCCTTTGACCGGCATTCCTGCTTATAAGTAAACTATCTGAAATAGGGATAAACATTTGCAAGAAAAGATGTTCTTTATGAAGTTATTTGTAAGATAAAAATATCAAGCAATGTAAAAGTCCACCAACATGGGACTAGTGATATAGATTACTGACTATGAAAGAAGGAGACTCTTAAATAGGCATTAAAAGTTCCTAGAGGAATTGGTTGAATGGTAATTCCTTGGTCTAACTACTTAAAGATAATGAAAATATAAATAAAATTGATTGGAGAATTTAGAATTAAAATGGAAAATTCCCAAAGAATTTATATGACTTAGAAAATTATTTTTTAATTTCTGTTTTTAAATTTTATTTTTATCTGTAAGTAGTTTTACAAAGGAGTTGCATTCAAACATGGATCAATGTCATGCCTTTCAGCATTCTCTCCAATTCCTCCCAATCCTATCTCTTGCCTTAATTTTCCTAATTTTATCAAAATGCATTGAATTTTATAACTGCATTCTCTTCCCTTTCCTCTAATTTGTTTACTTCCCTCCTCTTAATCACCCTCTCCTCACATTCGAGCACCCAATTCCTGGTGTTATTTTGTTGTGCTGTGAGTTTTTTTTTGATATATTGTTAGTGAAAAAGAATATGAAACTGTAGAGGGTATAGTTAAACTATAAGTTAAAAGTTATTCACATAAAGTGATGAAGTTTTTTCAAGGTAGGTGATTACAGATTTTTAACTTTCCTTTTTTATATATTTATTTTTCCCTTTTAAAATTAAACCTCTATGACTTGGCCAGTACTGGGACTTAAACTCTGGTCTCATGCTCACCCTGTTGACTCATGCCTTCAGCCCGGATTTTTACTGGTTCATTGGAGTTAAGAGTCTCATGAACTTCTCTGCCAGAACTGGCTTCAAACTTTGATTTTCCAGGTCTCAGCTTCCTGAATGGCTATGGGCATAAGCTACTGGCACCTTGCTAGAAAATGTTTTAAGCCATGTTCTTGGTGCTAGACAATTCCTCAAACCAGAGAGAAGGTATTTACTAAGAGTTATCAGAGGGGGCACTACCACAGACCATCTATAAATTCAGTGGGCTGCTCCAAGAGACTGTAAAAGGACTTGGGAACCACAGGTCGGCTCCCTTATCTGGCATTTCTCCTGTAAGTAGTATCCTGTGGCCAGGTGGATACTATGTACAAAAGCACTGGCTTTTGTAAAGACAGGCAGAGTACCATCCTTAGCACATGGGCAAATTCTTTTTGGCTTCTCTAGAGAAGCCTGCCAGCTACTCACTTGGCCTTTGCAATGTGTAAACCGAAGGCCACTAAATAAATGGAGGTAAGGGAAACACCCACAGGAGGAAGTAGAGGCATTTCCTTATTGCAAGCAGTCTCTATCCCTCCAAGGCCAGAAAAATGCATTAGGCTTTGAGGAACATTTGAAGATCTCTTCCTTCCGGTTTGACCACAACTTTTGAGACACATACCTCTTTTTGTTGCTTCAACTCTGCCCGTCTCTTCCGTTGTTTATTGTTGGTTTTACAGTGAATGAAATGAGGCTTGCAGTAAAATTTTCCTGTGGAAAGAGAGACAGAAAGACAAACAGACAGACAACAGACACAGACACAGACAGACAGACAGACAGACAGACAGACACACACACACACACACACACACACACACACACAATTTTTGTCCTGTAAACCACAGAAAATAAGCCAAGTACCTTTCACTGTCTGGTCAGAATACTTGGCTTAGACATGGGAAATGGATGTATCACTGTCCCTCAACAAGTACCCTCAGATAAGGCAGTCACACTTTTATTGGTTCAATAATGGGGCGAGGGGATCTTGAAATTGGGCTAAAAATCTCCTGGCAACCCTCAAGCCATGGTAAGGTCAAGTTTCTTTACAAGATCAGTTGCCAGGGAACAAAAATGGGCAGCTGTAAGTGTTGATACACTCCTATCCTTTCTGAGATTCTGAGAACAAATAGGGGCAGTAAGGAGCAAGAAAAGACACAGGTAGGGTATATGCCAGGTAAATGGCTTCTCCCAGGACCTCTAGGCACCTTCTAGAAAGGTCCTCCTGCTCACTGCTGTGATGTAATAGTGATGGCATTAACAATAAGTAAATGTAATGTAGGACTTAATGTATACCAGGTACTATTATATAGGTTTCACATAAATTAACCAATCATCCTGCAGCCTTATGAACTAAGTATTAATTTTTGTTAGTACTTATTTTTTGAGATAGGGTGCTGGCTTGCTATTTCATGTTAGCCTCAAACTCAAAATCCCCTGCCTTTACTTCCTGAGGGTTGGGATTACAAGCCTGTACTACCATGGACAATCCTCTTATTATCCACATTTTACAGATGAGGAAACTGAGTGATCCAGAGGTAAAGAAATAGGACTGATGTTATATGATCGTATGACCTGGATTCGAGCCCAGGTGGGTTGATTTGAGGTTCTTTAACACTAAACACTGTGCTGTATCAAAACAATGGTTGAAAATTAGAAAAATCATGACATAGTCCAATGAGTACAATCCCTTCCTCAATGGTTTCTGGTAGGCATTTATCAAAGGAGATGCTATTTTTTTTTAATTTGTAAATTAAATTTTTTTTTCTGGTTGTGTGCTTGAACTCTGGGCCTGGGCACTGTCCCTGAGCTCTTCAGCTCAAGGAATGCACACTACCACTTGAGCCATAGTGCCACTTCCAGTCTTCTGGTGGTTAACTGGAGATAAGAGCCTCACAGATGTCCCTGCTCAGGCTGGCTTTGAACTGTGATCCTCAGATCTTAGCCTCTTGTGTAGCTAGGAATACAAGCATGAACCCCTGGCATTGGGCTTATTAGGTAATTTTTGTAACACCTGCTTTATAAACATGGTGCTGGGTATGCTATTATTATTATGCCAAACAAGGACTGCAGAAGGTGGCAATACTAAGTGAGAAAGTGCATTTAAGCCTTCTGCACACACAGTAGATGCCACAGATAGCTGGTAACCTGCAAGGCCCATGAATAACCTTCTCTCTGTAGCAGGAGCTCCCAGTCTCCCTAACCAGCTATCTCCCTGTTGGGAACAACTGACTGTCTGTCCAGAGCCTTTACACAACTGGGAACCCACAATAAAGCCACATCTGCAGCAGGGATTATTGCTATTCCAGTCCCTGGAGGTTACCTTCATCACAGTCGAAGGCATAGGCAGCCAGGCGCAAGGTGTTGGCACAGACACTGCAGCGGAAACACTCCCGGTGGAAGAAGTGGCCCTCAGCACTCAGCCGTTCCATCACGTACACACGTTTTTCACAGAAGTAACAGGTGTCACTGCCACCCAGGCCTAGGGGAAACACCTTTCGCATAGAATCCTGGAGTTGGGAGAGAAGAGCTGTGTGATAGGTCTGAATAAATCTCAAAGGCCAAGACTTTTAGAAATTCCAACTGGAATCACAGAATCCTCTGGAGCTCCTGGTTGTTGCTAAGGCATTGGAGTAGAGAACAAGGCAGGAAGGTGTGCTACCAACCTAGACTCCAGCCTTCTAGGCTCTCCTCAGGCTGCCTGCCCTGGGCCTGAGTGGTCTGAACAGAGAGAGAATTACACACAAACCTGTCTGCCCAATGATGGGTCTGTCCCAGGGATTAAGTATCATTGGGCATTGGAGTCAGGTCACAGCGGCCCTGCTAAGGATGTTTAACACATGCTTGGCTGCTGTAGTGGCTTAAGTCAGGTAAAGAAAGCCTCAAATATGTTCTAGAGAGCACAGAGAAAGGATAGCTTGTGTTCTACAGCATCCCAAAGCTGCCAGCCACATTCCTAAATGCAAATGGTAAGGTAGATGGAGGGCCAGGATAGTTTAGACCTGTGTGATCTCAGGGCAATGCGCCAAAAAGGAAACCAAATGAACTGTCAACATATGTCACTGGTGATGGCAATGAGTGGCCTAAAGTGAGGAGGAAAGAATCAGAAGAAGACACGTTCTCCCCTTGAGAACTTGTTTTCTTGTAAGGCCTGATTTCATCTCTTAATCCAATACCCAGTGCTGTTCAGATTGGACACCCAAACGCTGAAGGTCAGGAACATCCAGTTATGCACATGGCCTTCCAGGACCCAAGATTGAGCTGTTCTTCAGAGCCACTGATAGCAAGGAGGCAATTGCCTTGGCAATGACCCATAAGGAAGATCATTGCCTTGGTGTAGCCCATTTTCAGTGCCTTTTTGTTCCTGGGGACTCTTCAGAGGTCTGGGCTATATCCTGTGATCCTGCTCCAAGAAACCACAGCCAGTGGCTGCAGGTGTAGGTTGAGCATGCATGTTCTTACCAGGTCTGGAGAGGTGGCTTGGGCCTTAGGTTTGTGATCATTCAAGTATAGATTGACCAAGACTTCAGCTGCAGCCCCTATTCCGCTGGACACTTTCCCTACTGTCAGCTAGCCAAGAGCAAAGGTGGATGAGACAGAGACAAAAGGAGAGGCCAGTTAGCACCCAGAAGGAAAGTAGGGACAAGTCTGGATATGAAAGATGGCTCTAACCCACATGCAAAGAGTACCCCATGTCCCAGAAAGGCAAACTACCAGGAGTAGATGATGGATATTCTATAAATAGAAGGAAAGAAAAAATTGTGATAGTAAAAAGGGAAATTCTACATTAGCCTACTTCTATGAGGTATCTAGCATTGCCAAATAATAGGAACAGACAGTTGAATAGTGTTGTCTAGTGGCTGGGGTGAGGGTCGGGGAGGAAGTTACTGCTTAATGGGTACTGACTTCTGTTTTTGTGAGATGTAAAGAATTCTTGAGCTACATGGTGTGATGAACATACAACACTGTAAATGTACTTGATACCACTGAAGTGGACACTTCAAAATGCTTAAGATATAAATGTTATGCTAAGTGCATTTTAATATAAAAAGTGGAAAAATATTATTTTAAAAAGAGCTCTAGCTGGGTGCTGGTGGCTCACAACTGTAATTCTAGCTACTTGGAGTCGGAGATCTGAGGATCATGGTTCAAAGCCAGCCTGGGCAGGAAAAGTCCGTGAGACTCTTATCTCCAATAAACCACCAGAAAACCAGAAGTGGTGCTCTGGCTTAAGTAGTAGAGTGCTTGCCTTGAGCTGAAGTAATGAGGGACATCAACCAGGCCCAGAGTTCAAGCCCCACGACTGACCCCCCCCCAAAAAAAAGAGCTCTATGACACTGGGTAGGGATCCAAGTGACAAACAAGTCCCTCTACTGGGGCTTGTAGGAGTTCATAAGCCTCTGGTTGTACAAAAGTGAGGGAGGAGATCTACCTGATGCCACTTAGCAAATAAATGCAAGTGTCAGGCCTGTTCTCAGATCTCCTGCCCCTTAGCCCTTCACATCATGAGGATCTGGTGGGATTTTTAATCTCAGACCCAATAACTATCCCCAAAGGCTTATAGTGCAGCCTGGAAGACAGAAAGGACTGAGTAAAGGAGAGAAACCCAGAGCCAAGCCTTCATAGAAAGCTAGTCTGCAGCCATCATCCTCTTGAGAGTTGCTGAGTGGGCTGTAGGGCCTGAAAGACCAGGACAGGGCTAGGATCCAGCTCTGCCAAATATGGCTTCTGAGATCGACACAGAGCCCAGAGCTTCTGAACTTGTTTTTCTCATTTATTAAAGTGGGGACAGTTATAGTTGTCTCAACTGAGTTAGAGAAGGTTGGCCCAGTGCATGGGACTTAGCAGAGGCTTGGCTAAGATAACTTTGACTCTTCCTCCTCTGGACTCAGCCTGCCCTTGATGTCCTAGTCCCTAAAAAGCAAAAACATTTGTCCTTGAACTGAGTCTCTTCCAGTTGGACCACAGACCAACACACAGTGGCTGAAGTGCAGTAGATGACTGGGCTGTCCTGAGATGAGGGACTGAGCAGGTGCAAGGCAGGGCCAGTGCAAAGTTGGGGAGGTCTCAGTCCCATGTGGGCCCCAGAGCATGGCTTGATCCCTCACCAATGTGTCAAGGAACTGACAGGTCAGAGCATGGCACAATCACACATCAATCTCCTAAGCAAACTCCCATTCCATCCCTTTCTCTCCAGCAGCAATGAAAGCCCACCCTGGGAACACTACCATCTCCTCTGAGGAAAATTTGCATAGGATGAGATTCTGGACATACTGTTCCTGAGGTGGAGAGGACTCATACCCTGCCCAACCTCCAAATCCAGCTTCTAGAGCCGCCAGAGCGCACAACAGTTTAGACTGCAGGGTGTCTTGTGCAAAGGTTGGCTGCCATTGGGCCCACAAGTGGTGGGGGTGAAATGGCGCCCTCCATTGAAACCCAATATTGCTCTTGAGAGGCCACATCTAATCTGATAATAGACTCAGGTACAAACCAGGAGGTCCAGAATACCTGAAGAATAAGACAGTAGGTTGGTCAGCTCCCCAACTGCTGGTAGCAGGCCAACTACTATCCTCTCACCTGAGGCTAACTCTCCAGATTCCAGTAAGCACACAGACATTATAGAGATAAACAGGAAAGGAATGCTGAGCAGGCTGGTGACAATGACAGGATCTCAGGAACTGTCATCCCTTTTCTCATGATGGAAGCCCTACACTAAGAGTAGCTTTGGAACAGCCATTCCATACCAAAAATGTGGGGCTCTTGGGGACTGCAGAGTATCTGGCTGTGGGCTGCTAGATGTCTGGTCCCTTGGGGTAGCAGAAGGGGTCTTATCAGACTGCACAAAGCATTCATTTCTTGGAGTGATAGCTGCCAGACCAGGTTCCTCCTCTTCCCTCCTATCATCTGCACTCAGCCTGAGAGAGATTAAGATTCTGCTTCCAAACATGCATCTTGACACTCTCAGAAGCCTATAAATCCGAGGAAACTCAGCTCCTGCTTCCAGGCAAGTTCAGGTGTATTGCTCAGGATAATGAGCCACAGTTCCTGATGCTCTATCCCCTTTGGGGCTCCTATCTCCATCTGCGGGGATTGCAGAATACAAGGTTTATATAAAAAATACGAGGGGGAGGGAAGACAGAAGAGGTCAGATGTCTTCTGGTTATTGCCCACTCTGCCTTTGGTGGCTGCCTTCTGGCACAGTGTGTGAACCAGCTCCAGTGTACTCTCCCAGAAAGGCACCTGTGAGCTTATGACACCCACGCATGATTATTGCCTTCTCGATGTTGCAGAGATCAAGACTATGCTCTCTGAGGCTTTAAATACAAGTCCCTAATGAGATCTTATTAACTATTTAGATAATAAGCACTTTGGGCCACTTCACTACTGAGTGATTCTGATTTAGGGAGCAATTACTGAGATATATAGAAAGCTGTGAGGTTGCTGAGGGTGTCAACCAAGTATACTGGTATAGATCAAAGGCTTACCAGATCTACCAGCTCAGGGCATTGTCACCTGGAGGTGGATCCGGGTGGAAGACCATACGTTTCTTTCAATACGGGCCCAAAAGCTCATTTCTCCATGTCATCCACACATACACGTGGAGCAACATAAAAAATTGAACTGAAAGCATCCTTACAGAAATTAGTATTGAGTCTTCCACTTGCCCTTCTAACCTGCTTGATACCATCCCATAATCATGAACACATACACTAGGACTTCCTGGAGAAGCCACAGAGTGATGGAGAATTTGTCTTAATGGATGATGATACAGGATACATAAGGAAATGGGAAGATATGTTATCTTTAACAACTACCAAAAGGGCCAGACCCAGAAAGTTGCAACTAGGAAGCTATTGGAAGAGCAGTTAAGCTTCCCTATTATACTTCCTTTTAGATGTGAAGTTACAAAGACTCGGAGATATAAAGGGGATTCTAAATCTACTCTCTCATCTGAAATAGTAAAAACCTGGCAACTCTCTGTAGCTAGGTAGAGCCAGAAAGGTGGGAAAGGATATGTGGAGTAAGAAAGCAGTAACACTTATTTGTTGTCTCTGTGGTTTAGATAGGCCCAGATACATCTCCATATTTTAGAATAATTAGCATCACCCATCTTAACCACCTCAAGCCAGTGTCTAATGGTTGGGGTTGTTGGCCAGTATGACCATGTATGTTCCCCTAGATCAGAGAGAAAAAAAGGTAACAGCTGTCATTGTAAGCCTTTAACTCTCATTTCTTAGATGAGGAGCAGGAAATAGTTCTTTCTCTATATTCTATTTCTTCCTATTTTAACCAGTTATACTAAAATAGTTCCTTGCTAGGACTTTGACCTTTTGTGCGAAACACTCTGAAATGCTTTTCTTGAGTGGATTTGTGATTTGTGTGCAAACTGGGAAGCTGAGGAAAACCCTCATCCATTTTCCAGTGACAACAAGAGGGCCTAGAAACCCACCTCAAAGACCAATGGGAAGGTGACCGTTGCCCTGAGGATTGAAGGTTATCATCCTTCTATATCCTGACAGTAGATGGCTGTTCTGGCTATCCAAAAGTGAGGTTATAACTGGTAGCTTCTCCTAGCTCCATGTGTAAGAGGCAACTTAAAAGATGCTTTTGGGGCTGGGAAGGTGGCTCAGTGGTAGAGCGCTTGCCTTGCATGCCTGAGGCCCTGGGTTTGATTCCTCAGCACCACATAAGCAAAAAGAAAAAAGCCGGAAGTGGTGCTATGGCTCAAGTGGTAGAGAGCTAGCCCTGAGCTGAAGAGCTGAGGGCCAGTGCCCAGGCCCAGAGTTCAGGCCCCATGACTGGACCCCCCACCCCAAAAAAAGATGCTTTTGCTGAGCCCTGTGGATTAACTAAAAGTCCCCCAACTTTGTATCTATGCCATTTTGTCTGAGTTATTCTCTGCTGCATTCACTTTATCATCTTAGGCTCTAGGAAAGAGAAGATCCATCAATAAATATCTTGTGTGGAAGGCAAACTGTTCCTCAAACAAGCAAAACTTTCTTATCATTTTAAAAGAAAGCAGCCCCAAACTCAATTTGTTCCTATTGTTCCAATGGTAAAGTGTTAACTTCTCTGGAATGACTCCAGAGACAAGTCTATGTGAATGGTCAACCAGTCCACACATCTGTGACTCAAGACTGTTTTAACCAATAACTTTCTCATCCCCTACTCGTATTTCTTCCTATTTAGCCTGAAGCCTCTGTCTATACCCCTGAAGATGACTGATGATACACTGAAGTGCTATCTTCTCATGGCTGCCATGTAATAAACCTCCTTCTCTACCCTTCACCATGTCTCCTTATTTGGTATGAGAGTGGCCAGACTATTGTGGAAGTTTTGGACTTTGGGCCAGGGTCTAAAAACTGGGTTTCAAACGTGTTTCAAACTATCTGTGGATGATGGTTAGGTTTGTTTTTTCCTTCTAAATCTTTGATCCCTTGTGGATTGATAACATGATTCTAGAGATGACAAAAATAAATGACTAAAAATTATCCTGCATTTGGATGTGTAGCAATGTCAAGCTGCTATACATGTTTCCAATGCTCACTCTCATTTGCTAAACTCACTGGTGGTAGATCTGTTTTGGTCCATGGATCACCCCTTGAAGGTCTCTGTTCTGGTCAATTGGGGAATTCCTTGACTTTTGAGAAATAAGCATTCAACTCACAGAACTTCCAGAGAACTCATCTTGGTATTGATTGCAGAGTAAGAGCCTTAACTTCTCAGCAAGGGGAAATCATGTATTGAATGGCAAGGCCCATGTGTTCCCAGAGAACACATGTGCTTAAGCAGAGCACAAATTATTTAGTAGGGACAATTTATTCAACTCTGAAAGTTAGATGACCAGATAAATTGGCAGAAAAAAAGATCACACCCCAATCATTTGTTGTTTTGTTGTCATTTTAAGAATTACCAATTTTCGAGTCTCATATCTTTCAGTGTTGTTGTGATGTTCAAGAACTTAGCTATTTTTCCTACCTTTTTCCTCTTTTGAATTCATATTATTTTTTCTGCTAATTAGCACAAACTGGAACAGTTCCTGTCATTATCCTATATTATATCAGGTTAACTTCACATATACCCTTTCTCCTCTGAGAGCTATAGTTTCCTCAGCTACTAAATGGAGAGACTACCCCCAACCTTGCAGGGCTGTAAGTCATAAAAGAATCTGAGTAAGATGGCCATTGGCAGAGTCAATAGGTCCAAAGCATTGCTGTGTGTGTGGCTTTGCATTACAATATTCTGAGTCTTCCCTTCTTTTCTTTTAAATGACTCTCTCTTCTCTGCATGGGAAGAATGATAGAATTTATTCAGGATGAGCCTGATGTCTTCTCTGCCCCAGCTAGCTGTGGTTCAAACATCGGCATACAATTATTGTCACATGCACCAATGCCAGAGATATTGAGCCAGAGATGGCTGTCTCTTTAACAAGAGATATTCTTCAGGCAATTCTGTGGTCTCCCTCCAGATTAAGTCACTGCTTAGATGTTGAAGCATTCCTCACACAGCACTGAACTGATCAGTCTGGACGACTTCTAGTCTGGTCCCTTTGCTATTAGTGGTCCTGCCTTAGTCATTTCTATTCCCATGACCCAGGCAAGATGCTGTACATGAAAGAGGAAGTAGGCTCCTGGGCACTTAGTATCCAAGCAATAGCATGTCTCTCTGGGCCTGAAACCAGTCATGGTTCCAGGTGTCCAGATTGCACCATTCTGCAGAATTGAGCCACTTGTGGTCATGTGGCCTGTTGAGTATCAAGTAAATGCATGCAGGTCAGGCAGGGGTGAGAGTCCAGCTTCCAGGGCCTCAGAACTAAAGGCTTATAGGAGGGGGAGGATTCAATGGGCTGGGCCACAGGAGGTCTTCTGGGCCTACTGGGCAAACATAGCCATACTGAGGAGTTGTTTAAGAAAACATCAAAGGACAGGTGATTTGGACCCGATTTTCTCAGCTATTTCCCCAAGGCAAGGAGGAGCAAGAAATGAAAATCCTCTTATTTAAGAGCATCTGGAAGTCACTTGCTTACAGTAGAAATTCACACAAGCCTTTGGGGTTGTGACCAATGTCTTCCCACCCTTCTCCCAGACACCAGGTATGATGCTGATGATTATATATGCACCTTAGCCCACAGCATCCTGCCTCATGGATCTCAAAACTCCCAATGGCAGGTGAGGCAGTTGACGCTCAAAGAGGCTCTAACTTATTATTCTTAAATGTCTAGATTTGAAATGGGAACCTGAAGGTGATAACTTTGTTCAGAGACATGCGAATTTTCTTATGAAACTCCCCCTCCCCCAACTAGGAAAGAGAACATTTACTAAGTACTTTAGCCATTTTGCATATGTTGGGTCATTGCAACATCTCAATCACCCTCAGAAGTAGTTGACAGCATCTCCAGTTTATTTGCTAGGAAACTAAGGCTCAGAGAGCCAGCTTCCTTGTTCAGAAAGATCAATGTGTAACTGATGCATTGAACTGAAGTCAGATTCCAGCTCATATTTTTTTTTCCTGTCTCCCTGACATACACCAGTGCCCTGCAAATACAACACCTCCCAGGCCAAGGTACATGCCTCCAAAAGCTGCCTAGGCTTATTCTTGGAGCAGAGGTAGGATTATGAGGAGAAAGCTGTCTTGAGATCTAGCCTTCCACCAGATGAAACAAAGCCAGGTTGCATATCCTCAGCTTACCTAGGGTATTCCATTTCTTCCTAATACACAAATCTTCAGAATAAACCCTGCAGATCTGGTTTTAAAACAAATACTCTCAGGAGTAGAGGAAGTTCCTTTCGCAATGCTTATTGCTTTTCTGACCCTTGAGGCCTAACACAGCTCTCAGCTTGATGAAACAGCCCCTTTTCCAGCTGTGCAAATGCCCAGCCACCATCTTATTCTTACAAGAGCTTACCAGTCTTGGACAATGGTAGCAACCATACCATGGAGCAAATCTATATAGGGTGTAGATACAACTAGAGGAGGCTGGTTTGATGGGACTGAGGAGAAAAATGGTACTAAAGACATATAATTGAATGTGGACTTGAAAGACAGGCTTTGACAAGGGTTTGGGCCCTAAAACAGAGGTCTTCAAATTCTCTGGAATTGTTCAGGACAACAAAGCAACAGGACTACTCTGAACTTTAAGGCAGAACATCAGATAAGAAGGGAAGCTAAGATACAGAGATTCAGAGACTTGCTCAGTGCCCAGGTATTTCCTTCTAAGAACTCCATGACCATTCACAGCCACACTTGAAAGGCACAGCCTGCAATGAATAATTTGGAAGCTGTGAAAGCAGCCTAATTGTACTATCATTTAATGACCATGACTGGTCTGGGGGAAATAAGGTACAAAGCTACAGAAGTGGAGTTAGAAGACCAGGGCTTGGCCATCTCAAGCCAGCCCCATTCCTACTCTACCTGTTCCTGGATGTGGGGCTTCACATGCACAGAGTTTCTTGGAGAGTTCTCTTTGACAAGGACCCCATTCATACTTTGTCTGTGAATCCTTCCCAGTCTTTTCCTCCTATAATCTTGCCTTTATTCCTCTTAAAGAATTTATGAAGAGTATTTATTGTAGTAGGTTTGAAATTGTTATTTTGTTAGGTCAAACAAGCCAAATATGAGCAGTCGTATACAATAAAAAAAGTAACATATTGATATGAAAATGTGCCGTTTTCACACAAACTGGGTAAAAACAATTTGGAATCCAGGGCTGTTGTAAACTTATAAACTTTCACAGCTTATAAACGTTCATCCAAGTCAAGTCAGGCTCCAGATGTTGGCTGGTGTAAGCCAAGCAGAGCATGAGAACATCACAGGACATGCATGAGGAGGAGCAGCAATGACTCAAGGCAACTACCTTTCTGGCAGGAGAAGCAGACTCAACAGTTGACTGAGAAGAAGTGGCAGCTGGATCAGGAGATGGAAGGCAAGAGGGAGAAGATGGAGGATGAGTGTGAGACAGGCCTTTAGAGAGTAGTTTATTCTGCACAGAACAGAGACAGAGGAAACAGAGATTATCCCGTGGGCAGACACAGGAACACTTGCCTCATAATGTAAACCCTACACTTCAGAGGGGAGAAGACACCGAGGTCCATGGTTTAGGACAAAACAGAAGCCTGTCTTTGAGGCTGAACAGAATTATGTGGCTCCTAGCTACACTGTATTCTGTTTCAACAGTTACTGCTCCCTTGTCATACCAAAATAGATCCATTCTGCTTCTGCCTACACCTGCTCCAGACATCAGTGCTAATTACTGAAGTCTTTGCCCTGGAGCTTGGTATGGAGCAGCAGCTGCAAGCTTGGGGGTGTGTGTGTGTGTGTGTGTGTGTGTGTGTGTGTGTGTGAAACCCTGGGTCATGTTGAGGCAGAAGGCCATAGCAGGCCTACAGTTGTAGGTAGGCAACTGTACTGACCTCCTAGAAACTGCTGGAGCCCTAAATGTAGCACATATAACTAAATGCAGCACATCCCTTCCATGTCAGCAATTACACCAAAAGTGGAAGACATGGGTCCGGAGGAGGCTGTGTGAGAGCTTCAGAAGAGATGTGTCCTACAGACAGGCTTGCTGCAAGAAAAGGACTTGACACATGCACCCACTGGTTGGGCCTCATTCTCATTCTTCCAATTCCCTGTGAACACATGTTCTTCTTTTCTCCATGTCTCTAAATAAGTAGCTTGTTTGAAGAAGGCTGCATTTTCTATGCTAAGACAAGGTTTTCCTTCTTGATTTGAGGTTGTCCCTTGAAGAACCAAATCCAAGTTATGGCATGATTTTGGCTTAACCATTTAGTACCTCTCTGGTCTGCATGAGCAATTGGTTTGCTTTCACCATAAAGGCACTATGAGTCTTGTAACTGACCTGTGTCCCCTCTTTGCATTGGTCCTTGGAAATGCAGAGTCAATTTAGAAACCAGCATCTAACAGCATAACTTTCTGTTGGCTAAAAGTCTCCTTTGACTTGGGCTTACTTTCCTGCCTTGGTTTTCCCTTTGTCTCATGGGTCAACTTATTTTGAATCTTTGCATTTGGATCTTTCTAGATGACATCTCTAACTCTTGGAAAAAATAACTCCTCATGCCACAGAAGGAGGAAACCATATCTAACTTCTTATTCATGGCTACCTGGCTGGATGCCAAGCACTTGTGTTCCTGGGAACTCTGAAGGCCCTGCGTTTACCTGTGGGATATCTCCATGTCCAAACATGGAGGCCAGGTGAGCTGCCTTCTCCTTAATGTTCTTTTTGTGAAACTCCCTGTTGGCCAAGTTCTGAGCCCTCTTCTGTAGTCAAAGAAAGGAAGGAGAAAGAAGAGAGAGATCGTGACAGAGTCACTTGTGAGGTCTCTTTTAAGAGAGCAGCCTGGGGCTCAGCTCACCACACAGCAGACAGGAGACAGGGAAGGAACAGGAGGAGAAGGGGCTGTCATAGGTAGGAAGAAGGAGATGAAGGACAGGAAACCATCTACATATGGACACAGGCAGGTCAAGTTGGTCTTTCACCTGAAGAATCTTTTCTTCCACCTGTTGCAGCCGCTGCAGCACCCCAGAGAGAGCCAGTGCCCTCTGGCAGTTGGGAGGCAGGGCAGGGAGGTTTTCTGGCCCACCCAGCTGCAGGTCAGACTTGGCCCTGGCTCTCCAAGGCCTGTTCATCCGTTCACTGCCAGCAGACACTTGATTGAGTTCTCTGAGCACTTGTCCCGTCACAACAGAGGGGAACTGGGAGACAAGAAAAATCAAACTTCCCTCCTATGGCCCTTCCAGAAATCACCTCCCCTCAAGGACCCCTGAATTATAGAGGCAAAAGATTGCGCATTAGCTTCAGGTGCCTCCCTTCTGCTACTGCATTAGAATCACAGGGCACCCAGTTACCCTACAATCCTGTGCCTCACCCAGAGCCCAACCCAAACATCTATAGCCCTGGTTCCCATCCTAGCTGTATGCTGAGTTCATCTGAGGGTACTTGACCTCTAAATATGCTGGATTGATTGGTCTGAGGGTACATGAGACATTGATATTTGAGAAAAAAAACTCTCCAGGTAATTCGTGTGTACACAAACTATACAATTGTCATCTTCACTACCTCAAAGCAACACAAAATTCCTAACACTGGCCAGACACCACTCAGTGTATTTGAATTCCTAGCCCAGGATGAGAACTGGAATAAGCCACAGTTCTTTTATGAAGGCCTCCAGCTACTTGAGTACTTGGAAAGGCCTGAGCCAGTCAGTGGGTGCAGCCTGTTAGGATGGGCCATCTGAGTCCATCCCATACTGATTTGGAAATCAGATATTCAAGTGGTCCATCATCACATAAAGCTCAGTATCACAGGGCATCATCTAAAACAATTGGCACTGTACATGTTTTCTCCCCATCAGTAGCATCAAGAGCTGAGTAGTATCAAGGTTGATACCCCTGACAGAATGAGGGATCACTGGCATACATGATTATTCTTCCCAATCAGGGTGGTCAACTCATGCTATGTCTGCTTGCCCAGAAAATCTACAAATCTGCCTTACATGGAGAATTGGGGAGTATCACTGACCCCACCCCTAGGCTCAATGTCTCCTCTGGCTTTCACAAAACAACATCCACAGAAAAGAGCCCTACCTGCCTTTTTAGAGGAGGTGGTGGGCTGGAAGTGGGCTCCTCAGGCTTGGGGCAGTGAGAGAGAACAGGAGGATTGGAGGAAGAGCACAGGGCTGGCTTACCTATTCCTGAGTTACGGTGTTCCTGGGAGAAAGGCAAGTCCAGAAAAAAGAAAGCAGGCACAGAGAAAGGAAGAAAAAGGTGAGTTAAACGGAGATACATGGAAGGAGAAGAGGAACAGTGAAATGAAGAAAAAGCAGAAGGAAGGCTGGCTGAGCTCTTGTAAACCAGACCCAACTGGGAAACCTGAGCCTTGGCTCTCTGTCCATATGAACAGCAAGTCCTGGAGTCTCTTCCTCTTGGACAACGTGTGAATCCTACAGGCCTTGCTTTTGGCTCAGACACAGAGCCAAAGCTGGCAGGGCCAGCTCATGCTGGCATTTTGGGCATTCTGCTGGAAGGAGAGCTTCCCATCCACTTGCAGACAGGAATGTTGTGGTCTCTCTCATAGAATACAGCCCTCACCAATATGGGGGCTGGAGAAGGCCAATTCTCCAGAAGAAGTAATCGAGAATAGTTTTAGGGAACTATAATTAGGAAAATGTCCCTTTAAAATAAAATCACTTCCTGTGGAAGTTAGTCCAGGAGGGGGCATGATCCACATCAAGAAGCCGTCTCTGACTACCTCCAAACCTTGTTAGGCAGATGGCTACTTTCCCAAAAGAAGCCTAATTCTGTCATGGATCAGGTATCTTCCATAGCCAAACTGACTCCCTATCCCTAAGCTTTTATGACAACCACGTCCTAGGAAAATTTAGGGGTACAAACTGAACCAGTAACACAGACTACAAGACAGATAGGAAGAATTGTAGCCTGAACACAGTATTCAACCTGTATTTAGCCTCAGCTGACCATGGTTTGACACAGTACCTCTCAGGCTGGCCAGTGCCTAGGGGGAGGAGAGTGCTAGGAAATACTTGGGAGGTTGCTCAAATCCCTGCACATCTCTGAGCCAACGTCATCTGGCCTGGATGAATTTTCACACCATGGACTTGGATAGTACTCTCCCATTTATCCAGGATCTTAAAATACCCTCAAAACTCTACTCTCAACCTCAAAATTGGTTGTAAATCAAAACCAAATTAGAAAATAGATAATATTATTGCAGAATAGACACCTGAAAACTATAGCCCATAAACCTCATCTTGCCATTTTTTTGGTAAATAAAGTTTATTGCAACATGGGTGCTCTGATTTTTTTTTGGTGCTGGTTTTGGGGCTTGAACTCAGGGCTTAGGCACTGGCCCTGAGCCTCTTTGTGCTCAAGGTTACCACTCTACCACTTGAGCCATCTTGCCAATTCTGGCTTTTCTAAGTAGTTTATTGGAGATTAGAGTGTCATGGACTTATCTGCCCAGGTTGGCTTCAAACCATGATCCTCAAATCTCAGCTTTCTGAGTAGCTAGGATTATAGGCATGAGCCACCAGCTCCCAGCATTCATTTATTTAGGTATCTTCTACATTGGTGTTCATCCAGCGGTGGCAGAACATCATGGAAGTTAGCATGGACTCTGAAGTGTAAAATGGGTACTCTCTGGACTCATGGCAAAGCCTGCTACATCTTGACCAAGACACTCAAGTAATTTCACCAGTCCTGGGTCGGCATTTTCTCAGAGCCATCTCTAACCTGAGCATTTCTGCTCACTTGCCAGCAGAGTCTGGTCACTAGAAGGGAAGGTGAGTGAGCATCTGGAATGACTTACCTGCTTCAGGACTAAGTTGTTTTTACTGCTTTCCTCAAACTTGGCCAGCAGCTGATTTGCCATGGACTTGACTTTGTTCTGATTTCTACCTTCCTTCCTGCTGCCACACTCTTGATTGGCATCCAAGTTGCAGGAGAATGTTGATAGCTGCAGAGGTCAAAATAGTACATTGGAGGTCAGCTCTTGGAATCCAGGTAACATGAAGGGGACTGGGACCTTAGAACATGCAACTGGTTTCTTAAAGCAAGACAGCTTCCAGAGATTGAGGAAGTTAAGGTCTGACACACCAGGGTCACTCAGCAAGGGAAAATATTCACAGGACAGATGTGGCTCTTCAAGGGATGGGCACAGTTAGGAGTCAGACAGGCTTTGAATCTTCACTTTCCATTCTCAGCCCTGTGACCTTAGCACTTTAGCTCTTTGAAGTTTCTTCATCAATGAGAAGAAGCAACCCATTTCAAGTGATTATTATATAAAGAATAATAACAATTTCATATTTTATAAAGAGTAAGAATGATACCATATAAGTATAATAAAGAAGCCAGGTGTCAGTGGCTCAAGACTGTAATCCTAGCTATTCAGGAGGCTGAGATCTGAGATCTGAGGATTGTGGTTGGTTCAAAGCCAGCTGGGGCAGGAAAGTCTGTGAGACTCTTATTTCCAATTAATTACATCAGAAAGCAGATGTGGAGCTGTGGCTGAAGTGATAGAGTGCTAGCCTTGAGCAAAAGGAGCTCAGGGATAGTACCTAGGCACAGAGTTCAAGCTCCACGAAAAAAAGAATAATAAAAAAGTGTTGTATTGAGTCATTTCCAAAATGTAGCACGTGGCCAACAAAAGCTGTATAGGGGGATGGAGGAAGCAAGAGGGTGATGTCAGTCAGGCAAGGCACAAGCTCTGTGCTCTGTGTTTCTCTTCTCTGTACCTTCTTCACAACTTCAGCTGCTCAGTGTCTGCTGTCTTTTAACAAATGTTAGTTTAGAAATAATATTTTTGTGTGTGCCAGTACTGTGGCTCGAACTCAGGGCCTTACTCTCTCCCTTAGCTTTTTTGTTCAAGTCTGGTGCTATACCACTGAGCCACAGCTCCACTTCTGTCTTGTTGGTGATTAATTGGAGATAAGAGACTCATGGGCTTTTCTATACAGTGGAGAACTGTCATTCTCAGATCTCAACCTTCTGTGTAACTAATATTACAGGCATGAGCCATAGACACCACTGCAACAAAAGTTGCAAAGAGGGTACAGCTTGTTCCTAGGTACCCTTCACATAATATCTGGAATCACCACTTCTACTGTTATCAAAACATTGGAATGATATTGTTAACCAAACCATAGGCTTTGTTTGGATTGCATGAGTTTTTCCACTAATGTCTTTTTATTCCTGTTCAGGGCTTCAGTCCAGGATCCCACACTGCATTTAGTCATCTTGTCTCCCTGGTCTTTTCCAATGTGTAAGGAATTTTATAGAAAATTCCTCAACATGGGCTGCTCTGATGTTTTCTCATGATTAGCTTGGGGCTAGGGTTTCCACAGGCTATGACAGTAACATGACTTAGTGGTAGTGTGGGCCTTGATTATAAAATAGAATCCCATGTAAAATTGCTCTAGCTCATCTGCTAATCATAAAAAGTTGAAAATTCTCTGTATTTCATAAGAATGTCCCTCCTCTTCCTATATACCCCAGAGCATAAATGGCCATGCCATGCCAGGTAGGTAAGTCAACTTTCTCAAGAAAACAATGAAGGTAGGTGTTTAGCTCAGGGACAGAGGGACAGACTGTTTGCCTAGCATGTGCCAGGCCCTGGGTTTGATTCCCAGTAGAAAGAGAGAAAGAAAGAAAGAAGGAAAGAAAGAAAGAAAGAAAGAAAGAAAGAAAGAAAGAAAGGAAGGAAGGAAGAAAGGAAGGAAAAGAAAGAAAAGGGAAAAGAAAAGAAGGAAGGAAAGAGGGACAAAATGAAGAAAGAAAGAATCTTATCCATGAGAATAGTATGCACAAGTTAAGAAAGACATGTTTAATTAGGAGAAATTCATGGGAAGAGGCAAGCTAGGATCAATTGTGTCTAAATATGTTCCCTAAGAGGAGCAGTTCCATGGGAAACTGTATATGTTATCACCATATAAAGTCTCAGGCAAACATAAAGCAAAGAACTACTCCCTGCTTCAAAGCAGGAAGTGTGACCATGCACATCAACACAGGCTGTTTGTACAAGACTAGAGTCAGCCAACTTACTGAGGCTGATGTTCTAAGATATCAATGGGCATGTGAATGACCTGGGGATCCATCTCTAAAAATAAATTTGATTTTAGCAGGTCTGGAGTGGGCTTCATGGTCTATATTTCTAGAAAGTTCCTTGGTGATGTTAATGCTACTGGATTTTGGACCATACTTTTGAGTCTAGAGAGAATTATCTTCTTCTGAAAGCTGCCTTTAATCAAAACATCTGTCCCTGAAAACAGTCCAGACATCTCAGAAGGGATAGATGAAAATCTTCCTACTTCAGCTCCTGGGCTGCTAATAAGTAGAACAAATACCCCTCAAGAAGCCAACTGTGAAAGGGAAGAAAAGATCTCCCTCCTAAGACAACTTGAACCTGAGGCTTTAGGGAGCAGGCAGGAGTGAGCCACTGGCAGGGGAGGTGTAGAGCCACCCCATGACCTGGGAGGAGGGATGTGCCTCAGCCCTGGAAACAGTTCTGCTCCTCATCTGGGTTATCTCCTTATTCTCTGGTTTCTTGACAAAACCATATCCAAGAATGGGGACGCTATAATTCTCAAAAGCTGTAATTGCTCAAAAAAAAAAGGTCTATAAAATCTTCACATAAGGATGATATGGATTTCAGTGGATAGGACGTATATGTTTATATGTTCAGATGTGAACTGAACTCCAGGCTTCTTTGATCAGGAAGTAGGAATAGGGGGTAGCTGTACTATTCCAAGGTGGGCTCCTGCCTTTGTCAATTATATAGCTTATGCTTATGAAGTGGAACAGGTGACAGATCCAAACAATGTCCTAAACAACACAGCACTAAAACCTCCTCCAACATGAAACAGAAGTCTCTTCTGATTCCTGTGAGTCAAGTATTGTGCAAATCATTCCATGTGCCTCTAAGTCATCTCTGGGTATCAGCTAATAGGCTAGCTAAACTGGCATTCTCCCCCGGATTGGCATAAATACTCTTGCTTAGGTGGAATTAGAACTTTATTTTTAAAATGAAGTATATATCGCACATCTAGTTAAATTGCTGCTTGGAGAAGCAAGCAGATACTATTCCTCTTCCTCTGCTGATCAATTTTTCAGCATATGAGGATCAGAGCTTGTTTTTTTTTTTTTTTTGCCAAAGTCACTTGCAATTCTCATTCATTTCCAGAAGGTGGCAAGTGTAGGTATCAATTCATTTGACTATCAACAGAAGAAAACCTGTTTACTATTAATAATGACTCAACATTGATAAACATGTATTATTATATAAATCTTTTCTTTTTTTCTTTTCCTCTCTCTCTTTTCTTTTGAGACAAACTCCCTATATATCATAGCTGGTCTTGAACTTGATATTCCCTCTACCCCCATCTGTAACACCTAAATTACCTTACAGGTATTACAGGCATTACATCTAAGCCCCATCACGCTTAGATTCAATATCCTATTAATTTTTTTAAACCCTGCAAAGATTCATCCAATTTGAATGTACCATAACACTTACAGACAGGACCCATTCCCTGGGAGGTCATTTCTCAAAGTTACATAGCCAGTAAGTACTAAAGAAACAGAACCTGCCTCCACTCAACTAAGCATGAAAGCCAGTGGTTCATGAAAGAGAATAAACAACAGTGGGTGTGGAGAGCAGAGCTGCTGTCATGGTCAGGGAGCTCTGTAGCCACTGGTTGTCAGGAAAGGAGCCTTTGTGTAATCTGATCCTGTGCACACAAACCTCCTCCAGATTGCTGAGTCCTCTCCGTCTTCGTTTGTTCATGTCCTTCTCTTCAGTTTGGACATCTACCTACAATTGCCAAGAAATCACGGTCATCTTAGGGCCAACAAAGACTTCATTTTCATGAACATTTCAGAGGCTATAGGGCTGGCTCTGTGTGCATAGGGATTCAGCCTTGCCTGTAAACAGCTGTCAGCCTAATGGCAGACATGGCAATAAATGACCTTGCACCCGATAAAAGCTATGACAGAATTATGTGTAGGTATAGTGAAGGAAGACTTTATCTATCTGGGAAATCAGAGGTTTGCTCAAGGCCTAGGACTTACAGCCCAAAGGATCATAATGAAACATCCCAAAGCTGACAGAATTTATGTGACACTGGCAGGTCATGGATTGTCTCTATTTTGATATGACTTTGGGCTTTCAGTGGTAAAATTATATACCCAAGGGGGCGGCCAGGTTTGCTGATACCCTCAGTGGAGACCATATAGGGTCTCTCTACTCTAGGGAGCCTGTCCTAAAAAGGTAACACGGGTTTACCTAGATGGGATCATTCTCAGGACTCAAATGAGTTGTCCAAGGAACTGGTGGCAAATTATCGAGATATCTTATTAATTTCAAAAAGGTGCTAGTGAGGCTAGAGGAGTATAGAAGCATACAGTCCAGTTTGCTGAGGACAGTTGATTCACTGCTGCCCCTCATCAACATAACGATTAACGTGCCTCCTTTCACTTTCAAAGGATCCTAATTTATATAATACAGTATTGGCTGCCCTATAGCTCCTATATTTCTGCTGTCTGAATCTAGACATTCAAATCAGGAAAACTCTCTACCTGAACACCTTTAAAAAATTATCTTTAAGTAGTTGTACAAAGAAGTTCCCATTCTACCATTCTACAAAACAGTATATGAGTACAAAGTGTCTGACAACATTGCCACCCATCTCTCTTAACCCATCCCATCTCTTACTTTTTTTCTTTGAGATTAGGTGATTACATAAATTTCACATATTTCACAGTATTGTGGAATAGTGATACTTAGAGTCACAAACACACTTTAACTTTCACAAGGCAAATGGTCATTATCATGGTCTATACAGCTTGTGAATTCTATGAGCTTTGACAGTACAAGTTATTTTTTTCCACATTGGGTGATGCTTACATTTCTTTCCTTTGCTTAGTGTGGGCTGTTCCCACTTACTCTGTTCCTCCTCCTAGCTTCCCTCTGTTGCGTGCATATATCTACCATCTATATGAGCCAGAACATGGAGACATTTAGCAATGATATGACAAAATGGGTGGCTGTACTTTGTTTCTTGGGTCCTGTTTGGCATATCTTCTTGTATTTTGGCTTTAGCATCCACATATCAGGGAGACCATGTGCCTTTTGTCTCTTTATTCTTGGTTTATTTCACCCAAAATAATCTGCTCTAGTTCCATCCATTTCCCTGCAAATGCCATTATTTTGTCCTTTATAATGGCTGCATAATAGTCCATTGTATATAGATACCACAATTTTTGGATCCACTCATCAGTAGTGGGGCATCTGGGTTGTTTCCAAATCTTGGCTATTGCGAATAGTATTGCAATAAACATGGAGGTGCAGGTGTCCTTGTATACTGGTCCCTGTTGCTCAGGGTAGATGCCTAGGAGTGATATGGCTGGGTCATAGGGGGGCGGTCTATATTTAGTTTTCTGAGGTATCTCCAGACTGTTTTCCAAAATGGTTGTATTAGTGTACATTCCCACCAGCAATGCAGTAGGGTTCTTCTTTCTCCACATCCCCTTCAGCATTTAGGATGTGGGCCATTCTGACTGGGGTAAGGTGGTATCTCAGTATTGTTTTTATTTGCATTTCCTTTACAGCCATCTACCTGAACACTTTGAGTCACCCCTGAAAGAGCTTCCACAAGAAACATCTATACCAGGCCTTCTCTAGAGAAAATAAGGAGTGTATGAGCTGAGGTGGGAATAGAGGCTGAATGTATATCTCCTCTGCATCCTGCTGGGTAACCCTATCCTTGCTATGACCTTGGTCTATCTAGGCTATCTAGAACTCTCAATTACTAGCCTCCAGTTTCTGGGGCCATCTCATAATGGCTAACTCCCACAGAACATCAGTCCCTTCTGCAGGGAGTTGCCTACACTCAAAGTCATTCATAGTAGGACTAGATTATATCTCAGTCTTTCCTCCACTGTGGATCAGGAAGAGGAGCTATCACTTACTATAAACTCAAGTGTGAAGCCTAGTCCCCCATACATCCTCCTCTGCCCAACCACAAGAGGATCCTTTTAGTTCTCACTGTTCTGAAATAGCCAAGAACTCTGAGTGCCTCAGTACCCACTTGCCTCCGCAGCCCCTGAAACCCTCTCTGTCATTCCCCACAGTGCTGGTTCACTAGCACTTTTTTTTTTTTAAAGAAAAGATCAATCACTGTTTAGTCACTGACCCAGGTGGCATAAAAACAGATCAAAGGGCCCTGCCTTCCCTTCAACATTTCCCTGAGCTTCTCATAAATCATTATCTTGTGAATGGAAATAATTTTAGCCCAAACGCTTGGGCAAACACCAAGAGAAACAGATGACCTTATTTTCAACAATGTTGGGGCTTGGAGGCACTGGCTGTCTAGTCCCATAGCTCCACAGTCTGTGACTGCCATTCTGCCCCCATGTTTGGAGATTTGAAAAAGAACAGAATGTCCTACCAACAAGAACAGTTTGTGCATAATCTTAGAGTTTTTCTGCTCTTTTTTCTTTTTGGTTTTGTTTTTGTTTCCACCTACAATAGGACTTGGCTTTTACCCCCAAAGAGCAATGTATCTTTCTCTGTCCTTCACACTCAACAGACCAAGGAGGCACTGCTTAAAAAATCAGTGCCTGTATAGACCCCAGTCAGCCATGCTATTCGAAGACTCATGGAAACCATCCAGGGAGAGTGGGCCCAATTACCAGCTCCTAAGAAGACCCCCAATCCTTCAAGTGGAATAAAAGAACCCACTCATTTGGATCCTAAACACTAAAATGAAGTCTATATGGAAAGGTTAGCAATACACATACCCCCCAAAAGGTCTTTACTTTTCCTTATAGGTCTATCATTGAAACAGTCAGTCTCAACTAAGAGCAACAAGAAGGTCAAGAAAACTGAACCCAAAAGGTTTATCTATTTTCTTTATCTGTGTATATACTTTGGAAGTAGATTATCTCAGAATCTCCATTTCCTTGACCTTATTGTATCCTATAATAAACTGGAAGCCCAAGGAGGAAGCAGATACCATGAGACAAGCATGAGAATAAATAAGTAATAAACTTTCTATTCCTATTAAGTTTTCCAATTCTTTCACTCTAAAAACATCTTGACTGCCCAAGGAAGTCAAGAATTTATATACCAGAAGGAATTTACTAAGTGAATTGGTTTCCCTCTTTTAAGAAAGACACTAAAAAAAAAGACATATTATCTGCCAATCTGATATTTATTTGATTAGCATAAGATAACTATGTTCTCATATTTCCTGAGTTAATGTTATCTGGGCTTAAAAACAAACAACTTTTATATTTAATTAGTTGGCATAGACTAACCCTGGAGATATTTAGACCTGGTCATAGGAAAAGATAGACCACTATTAAAGGCTAATGGTCTATCACTTGAGCCATACCTCCACTGCTGATTTTTTGCTGGTTAATTGGAGATAAGAGTCTCTCAGATGTATCTACTTTGGTTGGCTTTAAATCTTGATCCTCAGATCTCAGCCTCCTGAGTATCTAGGATTACAGGCATGAGCCAACTAGTTCAGCTTCTTATTACTTTGAAAATATTCAACAGGCCATATTCTCCATTTTCTATCATTCCATTCTTCTAACTACCTTTATAATACTGAAAATAAGCTGCATGGGGCCTGAGAGAACTTCCAGAAACACTCAATTACTAAAGCAAGTTTTATGAACAACTTCTGTGAGTACTTTTTTTTTTTTTGTCAGTCATGGGCCTGAACTCAGGGCCTGGGCGCTGTCCCTCAGCTCTTCAGCTCAAGGCTAGCGCTTGACCACTTGAGCTACTGCACCACTTCCGGCTTTTTCTGCTTATGTGGTACTGGGTAATTGAACCCAGGGCTTCATGCATGCAAGACTCTACTACTGAGCCACCTTCCCAGCCCCAAAAGCATTTTTTTTTTGGTCTGGTCGTGGGGCCTGAACTCTGGGCCTGGGCGCTGTCCCTCAGCTCTTCAGCTCAGGGCTAGCACTCTACCACTTGAACTACAGCACCACTTCCGGCTTTCTTCTTTTTGCTTATGTGGTGCTGAGAAATCGAACCCAGGGCCTCAGGCATGCAAGGCAAGCACTCTACCACTGAGCCACCTTCCCAGCCCCTACTGTGAGTACTTTATCTGGGTAAATTATCAGCATAAATAGAACAAGGGAATGAAATTCTCCTTCCTTTTACTATATTCACATGCAATGAGAAAGAAAACCCAAACCGTCTGAGACTTACGCGTGGAGTTCTCTTCCTTGGAAATGTGAGATTGAGATAGTGATTGGAAATGGATGATTTGGCAAGGCTGATGTCAGCATTTTCTCCATAGTTTTTACGCCAAGAATCTGTTGGAGGGTATCAGAACATAATTGAGCTCTTGGGCCTAAAAGGTGTTATAATCAGGGATGTGACTATACCACAGTCCCTCTAGAAAAATTATCTTACCCCCATGCCATAAATGCCTAAGGGGAGCTGTTTTGGTTCTAACTTTAGAGCCTTCCATATAGACCCATGGACACACACAGTGTTGAGCAGATGGCACCCCTGTCAGGAATAGCCAGACTCGGCTAAAGGACAGACATGGCAACATAGGGTCTGGTAAAGCCTTCTGCGGTTACTTACCCATAGGCCTCAGTGGGGCACCCCGGAAGAGCTCATAGAACTTGGAGAGGTACATGACTATGTTGAGTTTGTCAGGCTCCTGGGATGATGCCATCTCTTTGCCTGTGGTTACTGGAGGGATCCCAAACTCACGCTCAGCCACATCAAATGCCAACTGGTTGTTTCCCACGGCATCATCTTCGTTTAAGGAGTCAAAATTGCTGGAGAGTAGAACCAGATGCAGTTCAGGGAGAGGGGAGACAGGCTGAGCATATTTTGTCTGTAGGAAGAACTGTAAGCTGACCTCCACCTCATATTGGCAACCCAAAGTCCCTCTCTACTACCCCAGAAAATGCCAACCCTACCCATCTTGCTGAAAGCATCAGAAAATGATTCTCTTAGGAATAACTTTACTTTTGGCTATTTCCCTTGTGTTTTAAAAAATGTAATACTAATTGGGCTTCTCTCAAAATAATTAAGTTATATGAACTATATAGTGATGAGCTTCCCACCCACTTCTCATGACAATCTACAAAGGTCCCAACTGATGACATTGGATAGGTTTCCATTTGCCTTTTTAAAGGATTTGCCTGCAGGTGTGAGGTGAGGTTGCTGTCAGTGATGTTATGAATGTATGGTGTTTTAGACATCAGAAAGTGTCATCTAATCTTCCCAAAGGCCTTACTATTGTTTTCAATGTACAGATCTCAAGTCAGACATAGACTCTAACACTGACAGTAGCTAAAAGGTTACAGATAACCAATTTGGGTCTCAAACATACCCCATTTGGTCCCCAGATTCAGATCTCACCCCTACTTCTTTTTCTGGGGGTTGGGCTTCAAGGCAGGAATGCCAGATTTCCAAAACATGGTGGGGAACTGAGCAGTCACTAGTCACCTTGTTAATTTTGACTCTCATGTATTAGGAAAACAGCTATGTCCCCCAATATATTACTAGTACCATATGACCCTCATATATCAGGGACACAGACCAAACACATTGCTGATCCAGCAGTCAGTGCAAGAGGAAGGAACAAATTTCAGAAAAAAACTAAAATCAAAACATGCACAGAGAAAGTTTGACAAGTAAGGAATCTACACCCAGTACTAGCCTTAGTGTCCATTGTTTTCAAGGTCCAGCTTGGGCCCCAGACTCACATTAGCTCTGGCCGGAAGCGATGGATGATGGCGCACAGGGCCAGGCCACTGCGCCAGGATGTGGTTAGGTCGGTGATGTTGACATGCTCATAGCCCTCAGTCTGTTGCTGGCACCAGGTTAAGAGCTTGTTGGGCCGGATGTCTGACTCTGCAGAGAGGAAACCCAGGCAGTGAGGCTTTGGGGGAATATCAAGCAGCTGAACCTAAATATCCCTTCCCTCTGCTACCAGGGCTGGGAATCAGGGGACTGGTAGCAAGGAAAGGGACTTAGGTATGGATACAGTCCCTGAGAACTGATGACTAGGCCAAGGGTATGGCTAGAGGGTAGGTTTCTGGGAAAAGTAGAATCTCTAGGACCAACCATGGTCAAACTCCTGGGAAGAAGGTAGTAACACAGACTCTGCCAGCAATGGCCATCTAGGGGGAGATGATGGTGTACATGCAGTAGAGGGAGAGTGGGTGCTGGGGAGTGCATGAATGGGTTTGCCTCTAGGAACTCCTCAAAGCAAGCATCCAGGGATGTTCATTGGAGCTAGCTCTTGTAATGTCAAGGAATTCAACAGACAGAAGAAGACATTTAAGGAAAATAGGCCAGTGCAGTGACAAAAAATGTGGAAGCCTTGCATGTTGTTTACTATAATAAATAGGAAGGAGGTCTGTGATGTGTGGAGGAAAGGGAAGAGGAAGGCCAGATTTGATTAACAAAGGGTTTAGACAGATAGAAGTAGCTAGCATGTCTTCAGACAGCAGAGGGTCCTGAGCAAGACTGGATGCTGGGGAAGCTTCTCATTGACCCACTCCTTCTCCTGCCATTGAGCAGCAGGCCCCACACCTATTACTCTGCTAGGCTCAGAAAGATCAGAAGAAGAGTGAAGAATGTGGTACTCATCATTCAGTTGGGTAGACAAGATCCTCATGTGAGAAGAAGAGGAAAAAAAACAGTCCTGTGAAATCATTCCACAGTTCACTTTCCTAGGCTAAGCACCCAACATGTATTAACTCTAATCCACTTAAGGTTACCATGGGTAGGTGTAGCCTTTTTCTTGGTTTTATAGATCAGAAAGCTAATGTACAAATGGAGAGATGCCTGCCATCTCACAAAGGTAATGGGTAGAGACAAGCTGGCAGCAGAGTCTATGTAACCATAATCATGGAGCAGACCTTCTCCCCATAAAGTCCCTCTCAATAACCTGGTTAAGGCCCAAAGAAGGCTGCTTACCCCGTCTGGAGAGGCTCGCAGATCTCCTCACTGAGCCCAGTCTCTCGAGAGGGTAACGGTCTAGCTCCTTGGTGATGTACAAATGCTTCACCTATGAATAAAACAGACAGAATCTGCCCACCAGATTCCCCAAATCATTGGCTCAAGGCTCCTAAACTCAACTCACTCTATTGCTGCTGACCACTGCTTTCTTCCATTGCTGGATGGCATGAAATTCAGCAAAGCAGCCCAAGCAACTTCACTATAGATGGTGGATCTTAATTGTTCAAAATGTGGGTAAACTGAAAGATCTGAGTTGGCAAATTTCAAAATTCCATACTTCATTCTATTGATTGAAAGGGCTAGAAGTTGAGTGGTTGTGATTCAATAGGAGAAACAATGGAGACCGGGACCATAGTTGGCAGGGAAGAGAGGGTATTTGGCAAGGTAGATGGTTTGAGAGTTGTTTGATCAGTATTGAATACATATAATTACAAATTAGCAAATATAAATATTTGTACATATGCCAAGTGCAGGTGCATGCATACATAAACAAATAATATGTGCTACAGTTCCTTCTTGTGGGTTAGAAAGAATGCTGTCTATATTGTATTCTGGGATCTTTTGGAGTATTGTTGGCCTTAGTCACAAGAATGGGTCAAGATTTTATAACATCCTCCTTTTCCCTCTGCTCAGTGTAGGGACCGAAACAGGCCTAGGAATGGGCTTACCTGGTGGGGTCTGACACAATTTGAGTTGAGGTTTGGGTACCGTGTCCCTGGGTCCAATGTATACTGCTCAAAGTTCTTGTTGATGTTCTCTGGGGTGGTTTGAGGTAACAGCCGGTAGAGACTTTCTCTAGAGGGAGGCAGAACCCAGAGATCATGGATTGCTCATGTTTCCTCAAGATATTTCTCCACCTTCCTCTATTTCCTCCTCTGGGCTATAAGTGTTTTTGTGTACCTCTTCTCCAAAATGCTTTGCACTAGGGCCTTGACAGCTGTAAAGTGAGGGGAGAGGTAAAGGGGCTGGGAAGAAGGGGTGTCCAGGTGGCAGGGACGTAGTCTTCTTTCTTGGTCAGAAGACAGGGACACAGGGCTGGCAGCTTGGTAACCTGTGATCCAGCTAGAACCACAACTCATCAACACTGCCTTCTATGGTCTGTCTTTACCACAGGCCTCTATACCCAAAGCCATCATCAGTCTGTCTCCTTGCCAGCCCTGACTATCCCAGTGTACCAGCTGTCACAGCCACGTGGCCAACAGCAGGGGTCTGGGAAGAAAGCCCAGATCTCACCAGTGGAAGAGGCCTGAGAAGCCAGAAAACCCCACCCAGGGCAGAATATTGAGTGTGGTTCTTAAAGACTCCCTAAAATAAACCACACAGGATCTTGATCAGATAAACAATGGTAGTGAGCCCCAATTTCAGGGCCAAAGAACTTGGTCATGAGTGAAAGTCACTAAAGGAGGTAGATGATGATGGAGTTTGCTTGGAAACCCTGAAATCAAAGCAGGCCAAGTATAAGAAGGTAGGTGAGGGTAAGACAGAGGCTCCAGGTACAGCTGGCCTTTCCCCAACTTCTGCTTGAAACTTTGACCCAGCTCATCCCTGGCTAGAAGCCCTGCTCTCAAAACTCACCTTTCAGCCAGCAGCTCCAGGGGTGGGGTGCCCTGGTCCCAGCTCTTCACCATCCATGCTGTGTCAAAGGCTGCCAGGAATCCACGAGCACAGCCTGTGCCCATGGGCCAAAATGGCTACAAAAGAATATTGTTTGGTCAATGCTTACATAAAAATCAAATCTTTTCCCTTTTAGAAACAGTCATTTAATTGAAGAGTCTTTGTGCTTGAAGATTTGAGTGGGAAGGCTAAAATGCTGGCCTTCATCACACACTCTTCTCCATTCCACTTGTACTTTGTAAGACCTCCATATTGATAGGCCATTAAAGGCCACCCATATGAAGAAAAATGTCCCAATCCACCTCAGAGTCTACACATTCTGAGAATAACCTTATGGTCCATACCAGGTCTCATTGAGAGGGCAACACAGAACAAGCTAAAGGAAGGAGAAAAAGCTATAGCCTACAGACAGATGGGCAGGCTCTTGGAGTAGCCTTGCCAGAGGCCTGCCCACTAACTGAGTACATCTCTTTCCTGGGATATATAATAGGAGATGGTGCTAGCCAGAGCACAAATGCAGGGATCGTTCTCATATCAAGAATGAGGGGTTCCAAATGCAGGTAGTACCTCGAGCAAGCTGTCACCCACAAGGGCCACAAGCAGCTGGTGTGACTGACGCTCCCGCACCAGTGCCGCATTCTCTGAAGCATACATGGAAGTGAAGTCAAACATGGCCACATCAGGCTGCCCATAGTGATTCATGGCAAAGTCTAAGGATGGCAACTGATAATTGGTAGCAAAGTCTGCAGCTTCCCGGGCATAGGAAAGTAAGTTTTCCTGGTTCACGTTCTCTGCACATAGCAGCATCTCTGTGTCAATGTAGTCCTGAGAAAGATCAAAATACAGTATAACAATTATCTTTGTCGTAAGTGGCATTGTGGCTCAAAGTGGTAGAGTGCTAGCCTTGAGCGCAAAAGCTCAGGGACAATGCCTAGGCCCTGAGTTCAAGCTCCATGACAGAAACAAAACCAAACAAAACCTAACAAATAAACAAAATCCAACAAACGACCCCTCCCCCATCCTTCTTAAGAGCGGTGACTCAGACTTACTTTAGGCAAAAGGACTTGGGATGGGTCTGTACCAAGAGATTAATCAAAACAGAAATAGAAAATCAAAGACAAGGGACTAAAGAGGAAACAAATCAGCCAGTTGTGAGGGTTAATATAGTTGTAATCAAATTTGGCTTTGAGCTTCCTGGCACCCAAGGCAAAAGGGAAATGTGATATGTAGCAGGGTTTTCCTTATCAGAAAGAAGGAAGCTTACCAGTTCCTCAAGGAGGCATTTTTTTTTCCTGGCACTAAATTCTGAAAGATCTAGCTCATGTGGGAATTTCAACAGAGGGCACTGAGAGCTGTTAATGAACAGTCTACTTGATAATGGTTTTGGAACATATGTCTTAAGGCTAGTTCTTGTAACTTTCAATACAATTACAAGACAAAAGAGCAAGTTAGTAAGCGTGATTTAATAACAGAACAAGCTAAGTTCACATGGATGGTTCAGCTCTGCTGTGTTGTGCAGCCAAACAAGACTAGTAAAAGAAATGGTTGCTTAACATAACTCTCAAACTTTCTTTCCAGGCTCAGTTATTCCTTTTCTGGAGAAGCGAGGGCCACTCACAGCTTTGACTTTGCTTACTTCTGCTGGGACTGAGAACCTGAGTTTAGAGTACTTGAAAGTCCATCGACGTATAAGATGCAAACAGACTTGGGGCCAAGGAGTAAAATAAAGTGCTATAAATGGGCAAGTTACTTAACTGAGCTCTGATTTGTAAAATGAGAATAGCAAAATCTACTTCTCAGATCCATGAGGGGACTGTGTGAGACTGTATATGTGAAATCCTTAGTCCCTCATCTATAGGCTTTTAGGAAGTACTCAATGAATGAATCACACTAAAGGTAGCATCTGGTGATGTAACACCTGGACTTATGCAAGATACCAGCATGAGCACTTGCACAAGTGTCCAGAGGCATAGCCTTACCGATAGCCAGATTGGTCACCTATCTCCATTTTCTGAAGAGTCATGATTTCAAATACCTTGTTTGTGAAGTTCTGACATTTTCTTATCTGAATCACATGCCCCAAATTGTGCCCCTAGCATGGTCCCACAAGCCCACTGTCACCGTGGGGTCCCTATTCATTCCTAGAGCCATGTGATCATGAGCTTGCCTTGGAAGTATAAAGTTGGGATGAAGAGTCATGGCAGAAATCTCACACATTCCCTCTCCCTAGAACCTACCCCAGACCCCCTAAGGTAGACCAGAGGAATGAAGACACTATATGATAAAGACATTGCTTTGTGTAGATGTACCAAGCAGAGATGCAGGGCCCCCCCCCCCAGAGGGAGTAGGTCTCCAGGATGGGCCTGGATGAGAGCCCAGGGCTGTTGTGGGGGGTCCCAAGTAAGTGGTTAGTAGATAAAGGAGCATACCACTGATAAAGGGAGAGGAGAAAGTAAGGACAAAGCACTTCCTAAGCTCTTTGAAAGAATAGGGACTTGGTGAAAATGGCATGCGTCTGGGATCCTCTCCCAGCTCCTCCACGGACACCATGGGACCACAGTGAGTCATTCTCACCCACCTGTGCCACAATAAAGAGCCTGCGACAGGAAGGTGGATGGTCTTTGATGATTGCCAAGGAATCAAGTGGGCATGAGCAACATGTCGTTGCCTGGTCAAATTCCCTGGGATGTTTGAAGGTGACCTCAGCATCCCAGGAGACTGGAGTCCTCTGCCAAGTGAATCACCAAACCCTAGTCTCATTTTGCCTGACTGGTCAGGTCCTCTTTTGCAAAGATTTCCAATAAACCACATTCCCAGAATGGTCTGGCATTTTCTCTTCAGTCAGATACTGACCAAGGAGGACATGTCAGGAGAGATGCCACCTCCCCACACTTATCAGTAAGCAGCTGGGCAGCAGATTTGGAAATCTGGTGCCCTATTGCTGCTGTGCCAAGTTAGCTTCACCCAGCACCTACCCATAGCCTCTGCCTACAGTGTAGGCTCTTAGCTAAGGCCTGAGCTGGTGTGGAGGTAGCCCAGGGGAGGGCTGGGTTACTAATGTTGTTAGGCCAGCTGCCAATACAAGCTGGTGAGAAGCTAGGCACATTCTTGTCTGACAAGCAGCAATGAATGGTTCCCATGCTGCCTGAATTCCAGGCTGGCACCAGGAGAACACACTGACCCAGGACTGCATGATCCTTATCTTGAGGAGATAGCAGACAAGGCAGCAACAGAGGCAAGAATGGGCTCTGCAGAGGGTGAATTCTGAGCACAAGAGCTGCCAGCCCAGGCACTACCCTTCCATGGGATTCTTCTTCCAAAATCTGTTTTCTTTCTTAGATTTAAAGATGCAAATCTATAAAGCAGAGGTCAAGAAACCAGGAAGAACAAAAGGGAAGGTGTTCGAACAGGCTAAGAAGTTAGACAGGGAATCTACAAACCCATTGTGTGCCAGGCATTATATTATGTTACTAGGTGTTGTATGTATGTGTACATATATTACATATATTTGCTCCTCTCACAAACATTTTAAGAAAGAAATAATTATTATTTCTACTTTGTACATGTGAAGACTAGGGTTTAGAAAAAATAAGCAGCCTTTTCTCTGATATGAGGCTTGAATTTAGAGCTTCTCAGATTCTTTGCTTGGCTTACTTGTTTGGCTGGTACTCTATCATTTGAGTCATATCTCCCCTACCCTGGCTTTCTGCTGGTTACTTTGGAGATGGAATCTCAGATGTTGTTGTCATGCTGGCTTAGAACCTCAGTCTTCTTGATCTCAACCTCTTGAATGGCTAGGATTACAGGTGTGAGCCAGTGGTACATGGCTAGTTCATCTTTTCCACTATATGAGATAACATAAGACTACTATGATCCAAAAATTCATATGGAACAATAAAAGACCCCGAATAGCAAAAACAATCCTTAACAGAAAGAATAGTGCTAGAGGATATCAATACCAAATTTCAAACTCTACTACAAAGCTATAGTAATCAAAACAGCTTGATCCTGGCACAAGAACAGACCTCAGGACCAATGGAATAGAATTGAAAACCCAGAAATGAACCTACAGACCTATAGCCATCTAATCTTCAATAAGGGAGCTAAAAATATAGAATGGAAGAAAGATAGCCTCTTCAGTAAATGGTGCTGGCAA